CACTTTTGGCCAGCTGGAGAGGTGTGAGGTTCGAACTCCAGCAACCTGAGGCTGACAGCTTTGTGGAAGCAGCCACTTAAACAACTGAGCTAGGGCCAGGCCCCCTAGTGGACAGTTTTTATTGGGCAGCATTCTAAATTTACTTGCATTTTAAAGTTACCTGAGAAGTTTTTGTGTTGTTTTAAGCCCAAAAGCCTATATTGAAAATGATTTTAAAATGCAGTGCTAGAACAAGATCCTGATAGAGGACTGCATTTATATTAATCCTGTGGTTTAAACTGATTAATATTAAGCATTCTGTTTGCAGTACATGCTGCAGAGGACCCAAGACCAGGATGAAAATGTGGCTCTGGAAGCCTGTGAATTTTGGCTCACTTTGGCTGAGCAGCCAATATGCAAAGATGTGCTTGTGAGGCATCTTCCTAAGTAAGTATTCCTACCTGAAACACTGCCTTCTTGGTAAAATTAATTGCTTAACTGTGATTCCTTGTATTTACATTTCATATATAATTTGTCTTAATTTGAACACAGAGTCCATCATGGCATTTTGTTTTTGAAAAAAAAATAATTTAACACTTACGATGATACAAAATTTTATTCTTAACAGCCCATTTTTAATCCAGAGAATGCTGTTAAATGTTTCTTAAAAAATTAATCCTTTTTTTCTGAAAATAAATGAATATAGGTTCATGGAAGGAAATTTAAAACTTGCTGTTTTCACCACCTTAAATAAGTATGTTCCTGTTTCTGATGTTGGAGAATAACCAGATTTAATAAGGTATAATTCACTTAACACATTCACAATGGCCATAATTTATACGTTTTGCTACCAGTCAGCTCTGAACTGCAAGTAGCTCAACCTGGTGGGATCATATTAACATAGAAACTCAATTGTAGCTATGGTTTTAAATTCTTGATTATACTGTTTTGACATCTATTAAAAGTTACCATATGTTGGGTGCTTTCTTCCATGTTACTAGTTTTTGCTTTTTTATTTGTTTATTTATTTATTTTCCTATTTGTCTTTTTCCTAGTTCTTTTAGTCATTCTTCATTAAACTTGAAAATTATCTTGTCTAAGCTGGAGTGTGGTGGCTGCACACTTGTAATCCTAGCACTCAGGAGCCTGAGACAGGAAATTGCCACAAGTTGGATGCCACCTTGGGACAGTTTAAGGCCAGCCTAAACTATAGAGGAGACCCTGTCTGAAAAGGAAAGAAAATTGTCTTGTCTGGGGCTGGGGAAATGGCTCAGTAGAATAAAGTGCAAGGGCCTGAGTTCAATCCCCAGTTCCGCTAAGAAAAGAAAAAAAGAAAAAGAAAATTTTCTTGTTTCAGTTCCTGTTTCTTGTTTGTTTGATTGATTGTTTGACTCAGTAAATTCACAGACTTGTTTTAGTGTAAAGTGATATATTTCTTGTTCAGTTTTATTTTCTAAGAACATAGTGTTTTTCTATTTTTTTATGTGTCTCGGGGGCTTCTCAGTAGCAATTTAAAGTTTTTTTTTCAGTATCAGACTTACGTATATCACACAGAGTGTGTCCCTAAAGTATTTATCTTTTTGATGCCATTGAAATAATTTTTTATAAAATGTTTTCTGGCTATTGTCTCATAGCTATCGATTTTGTTCTTATTGTTAGAAATAATTTTAAAAAATAATAATAATTTTTAGTTTTTAGCATTTCTCTGGAGTATGTCCTAAAAACATATTTCTGTTTCAAAAATGTTTTAAAGCCGGGGAGATGGCTCAGTGGAATAAGCGCTTCCCTAGTAAGCAGAAGGGCCTGAGTTCAATCCCTGGTTCAAAAAAAGAATCACACAGACCCCCCCCCCCCAAAAAAAATGTTTTAAAGAAAAGAATCTAAGGGGTGTGGGGAAGTAGCATTTTGCCTAGCATGCACAAGACCCTGAATTGGGTCCCAGCACTGCCAGAAAAAGTGAAAGAATCTGAGGTTGAGCACCATGGCACATGTATGAGACGTCAGCTGTTCTGGAAGATGAGGTAGGACTGTCCTAGTTTGAGGACAGTCTTGGCAGTATAGCAAGATACTGTCTCACAGTGGAAAAGGGCTGGGAATGTAGCTTAGTGTGAAGGCCTTTAATTCAATTACCTGTATCACCAATGAAGTTGAGTATCATTGAAGAAACTGGAAGTGTTATAGTTTGTGGACCACAGCTGGTGATTTATATTTTTTCCAAAAATTACCTTGTTGATGATTTTCAAATTTCTTAGCATAGAATTGAAAAAGTACTCTCGTAAGATTTTTTCCATTTACTTTCTGTGCTTACTTCCTTGGAATTCTTTATTTGGAATGTATGTGTATTTCCCACCTTGATTGAACTAGATATGAATATATCCACCTTTTATTATAACAATTCAAGTTAATGGGATTTGTTGTGGTGTTGTGTCATTAGTCTTTAAAACTTTGGTGTTATACTATTCTGACAAGGCAGCTACACCACACATGCCTACATATTAATCACTCTTGATGATCTCTGTACATTCTATATTTATATACTATTTTGCTGAGTGTACCGTATAGGTTGTCTGGCTTGTTTTTGTTCGTTCTGAGTTCGTGAGGATTAAAACCCAGGGCTTTGTGCATGCTAGGCAAGCACTCTACCACTGAGCTACATCCCAGCCCTTACTTTATTTTGAGACAGGGTCTCCCAAGCTAGCCTCTGATTTGGTGATTGCTCTATGCTCAGCCTCCCAACTAACTGAAATTATAAAAGTGTGCATCATGTCCAGCTTTTTTTTTGAATCATCAGTAATTCTGGATAAAAAATAATTTTTTTCTTTCCACTGGAATTCCTGAGAATTATTTTCACCATAGTTAAAGTATATGGACATTTTAAAAGTTCCTTATAAATATTTTAAGCTACATTCTAGGAAATGTATACCTGAGTTAGTATTTGTAGGGTTATACTTTTTTTCCCAGATGATTATCATACCTTGATGTTCTTATTTGCATATGCTCAACTAAGTTCTTTGTCTTTTCTAATTATATCCATGTATATATTCTTTTTTTGTTTTTTGTTTTTTCACATATATATTATTCTAGTCAGTCTAGAACTGATTTGGGGATAAAATGCAAAGGTGATATGCTAAATGGATTTTTCTCTCTCTTTAGGAAATTGTGTTACTCTTTCATCTGCAACTTATACCATTTTATATGGTCATATAATTGTAATAAGTGAGATATTTTTATTAGGTAGTGATTTATTGAAAGTCTAACCTATAACATTAGGAGATGTTATTTAAAAGGATAACTACATTATACAATTGATTCTTAGAACAAGTAAGCATTTGATAACAGGCTTGCTGTGCGTGTTAGTACAAATGTTAAATAGCTCAAGCAGTTGTAAATTCCACTGTTGAAGTTTTTTTAATGCTCTCAGCTGAAAGCGTTTATAACAAACAGAATTATATGATGAGTAAATTTTTTTTGTGGGGAGGGTATTTTTGTTTTTTGTTTGGGAAATTATTTTTGTTCATACTTGTTTTGTTGATTTTGTTTGTTTTTATTTTTGAGGAAACAAAAATTTGCTATGTTGCCCAGGCTGACTTTGGGCATCAAACACTCCTATCTCATGTCCTATGTAGCAGGAATCCTATGCACATACCACAACGCCCATTGGGTACCCATTTTATATATAAAACAGTGCTCTGTACTTTTTAAAAATTTTTTCTTTATAGGTGATGCATTGACAGACTGGGAGAGTTATCAACATTGGTACAATGCAGAGTTAAAAAAAAAAATGATAAACTTGCTTTTTCCCAGCCCTCTTAGCTAGATTCTTGCTTAGTTTGAACAAAAAAAAAGTTTGCTTAGGAATTAAAATTGTAAATGAAGTCTCTTTAGTTCTTAGAAAGCACTGATGTAATAAGAACATTAAATTTTGTATTTGTTTCTAGACTAGTCATTTTCAACCAGTATTACACTGTTTTTGATTATTTGACACTTAATATAGTTTGTTATTGGGTAGAACTCTTGCATTACCGCTACTCCCAAATTACTTTGACATTTTGAGACAAGGCCTCACTATGCAGTACAAGCTGGTCTTGAACTCACTTTGTAGCCCAGGCTGGCCTCAAGCTCACAGTAATCCTCAACCTCCCTAGTGGTGGGATTACAGGCGTGTTCCACCATGCCCAGCCACTTCAACTTTTTTAAATCGTTTTTTTCATAGACTAACATCTTACAGGATTGTTTTATGAATACATTGTCCATATAAAACAGCACAGTGTCCAACATATACTAGGTACTCAGTAAACATTTGTGGTTAATGTTACTATATCTCATAATCTATTAAAAACTTGTTTCTGATGGCTAGATCAGATTTTAAAGATGGCTCAGTATATAAGCACTTGAAGGGCCTGAGTCCAATCCCTTGTTCCGTTTAAAAAAAAAAAAAGAACCTGTATCAAAAATTAGACCTGTTCACCGGGTATGGTGGTGCATGCCAGTAATCCCAGTATTGGGGAGGCTGAGGCAGGAGGGTCACTACAAGTTTTGAGGCCAGTGTGGGCTACGAAGTGAGTTCAAGGCCAGCCTGAACTGCATAGTGAGACCTTGTCTTAAAAGGCCCGGGGGGGGGGGGAGACCATATAAAACAGCACAGTGTCCAACATATGCTAGGTACTTAGTAAACATTTGTGGTTAATGTTACTACATCTCATAATATTCTATTAAAAACTCATGTTTCTGATGACTAGATCAGACTTTAAAAGAAAGCTGCATAAAAATATATATATTTTTTTTTTCCCCCAGAAAATTGACCTGCCTTGTGACTTTATCAAACATAAACACCTATATCTCACTTTCCAACTTCCTTATTTGTCAGACTGCTACTTCATGCCACAGGCTAGCCCTAACCACTCTATCTGATAAGTACCGCCATCGCTTCATACTTGTAGTGAACTTGTAGCTACCATGTATCTTGACTCCGCTAGTCTGGATTTTTTTCCCTCCTTTCGCTGCTTTGACCAGGCTGTTGGATACTATTGGGAAAGTTACACAGCTGGGGCAATTACTGACTGTACACACTATGGCCATCAGTTTCAAGTGGACATTTTATGCCATCTGGCATTCCTCATTTCAGGTCAGCTTTTATTTGCCAGCTGAGCAACTGTGTTAAACCTTCTGTCAGTCTTGTACAGTTCTTTGAGTGCTCTGTTTTATAGAGAAAACGATGACCCTTTCATCTTGCCTCAGAATTCACAGATAGGTTTTCATGTGAAGACTGGTCTTCATCCTGACCAGTCTTTCCACTTGAGATATAAGTAGCAGGATGTTTTTGCTTATCCCCAAGAACCTCAGTCCATCCAGTGGGTATTATTTCAACTTTTCCCTGTTCCTCTTTCAAATGGCATTTAACTTGCTGCGGTTTCCTTTCTTCTTAAAAAATTTCATGGGGTAGTGCCATGCTGGCCCCACCCCTAGGGCACACTGACACTGCGATTGAGACTGGGCATGGTGGCACATGCCTATAATCCCAGCGCTTGGGAGGCTGAAAACAGGAGGATCACTACAAGTCTGATCTGTGTAGTGAGACCCTGTAGACCCTGTACCAAATACCTTTAAAAAAAAAAAAAAAAGGATTAAATGAGCCCATTGTGCTTCACTTTTTTAACACATCTCGTTACCTCGTTAATGCTTCACTGTCTTACAGTCTGACATCAGATCATTTTACCATTCCTTCAAATTGTTCACAGAGATCATTAATGATTGTATCTGTCTGGTTTTCCTAAAAAATTCCTAGTTTATGAAATACGTTTTTGTATATGCTAACTACAATGTTTACCATTTGTCTGTTTTAGAGTTTACAAGAGCTTGAGCATGAAGGTTTGGCTGAGCTCACATTTCTTTCTTCCTATTAGTATCCCTTTAATCAGTAAGGACAGACATCTGTCAGTGTGCTCAAAGACAGTGTTACTAGTACTTGTCTCATTAGTTTTATTAGTATACACAGGGTTATTAAAACTTAATTCTGTAGATGTTATTGGATCTTTGTTTCACAAATTAATTTCTTTATAGGTTGATTCCTGTGTTAGTGAATGGCATGAAGTACTCAGATATAGATATCATCCTCCTTAAGGTAAGGAAACCTTTCTGATGGATACAGAATTTAGTTTCTATGTTAGCAAATCTTTACATTTGGCCAATAGGACATATTGTAGATTCAGCCTTTTGTAAATAGGCTTCTTGTTACATAAAAATTCAAGGAGAAGGGGCTGGTTGAATAGCTCAGCGGATTAAAAGCGCCTAGGCGCAGTGGTTGGGTTTGATCCCTGGGCCTGCTGTGCAGGCCGCACCCCTGGGGCACACTGAGACAGCGATTGAGACTGGACGTGGTGGCGCGCCCTGTAATCCCAGCTCTTGGGAGGCTATAAAACAGGTGGATCACTACAGTTCCAATCTAGTAGTGAGACCCTGAATATCCCGTAGACCCTTCCCTAATGAAGAAAAAAAAAAAAAAAAAAAATTCAAGGAGAGAACAAACATAGTAAATTTGGAGTTTATTTGAAATCATACTTCCTAAATATGCTACTTTGAACTTGATTAGACTCCCTTAGATTATGTGAGTTGATACAATATAGTGCATCTGACAGGACCTCATACCTTAGCGTATTTTTTTCCGTCCAATAAAGGAGTAGCTCTTAATCAGGAAATATGCTTTGAAATCTTGTACCATCTTTGGATGCTCTCGTTGTTTTCTTTATACATATATTCCAACATTTTCTTTAAAAACCCAATAGGGTGATGTTGAAGAGGATGAAACTATTCCTGATAGTGAACAGGATATAAGGCCGCGCTTTCATCGGTCAAGGACAGTTGCTCAGCAGCACGATGAAGATGGAATTGAAGAGGAAGATGAGGACGATGATGAAATTGATGACGATGACACAATTTCTGACTGGAATCTAAGTAAGTGAGAGAGCGCAAGTCATTTGATAAACTGTATTTCATCCATTAAAACAACATTAGGAAATTTCAAAATATTCATGAAACTATCCGGTCATCCTTGCAGTCAGTTTTAGGATATATTTTATCCCCCCCATACACACAAAAAGGAAACCCTATCCCCATTTTCCCCCAACCCAAGATAACTTTAAATCTGTCTTCTTCTAGTCTCAGGGTTTTCTGGGTTCATCCTTTTTTAGTTATGTTTTGTTTTGTTTGAGGCATGGTCTTATTACATAGACCTGGCTGGCCTTGAACTTGCAGCAATCTTCCCGCCTCAGCCTCCCAAGTGCTGGGACTACAGGTGTGCCCACTGTGCCTGGTAGTTCATCCATGTTTAACATGTATCAGTACTTTACTTTTTATTATTTAGTGACACTCTACTGTATTAACACAACAGATTTTTTATTCCCCCTCATCAATTGATGGGTGTTTGTGTTATTTTTTCCTTTTTGGCTATGTGAGTGTTCATCTAGAAAATTCAAAACTTGTACGCTTTTTTAAAAAATTCACATCACCTGTGGAGCTGGCCTTCTGACCCACACACTAATCAGAGAAGAGCTATACTTTGCTTTTTTTGCATTTTAAAAGCTTACTGGCTTTTAAAATGTCAGGGCTGTAGTTCTGTTTATCAGCCTTAGCACCATTGCAATTTTGGGCTAAATAATTCATTCTTGTGGGCCCTGGCCTGTACGCTGCAGAATCCTGAACAATGTCCCTATCTTCCACCCAAAATGCCAACAGTGGACACAATTTTGTCTTCAGACATTGCCAAATGTCACTGAAGGAACAAAGCCGCCTAGGGTAAAGAACACCTGATTCTTGGCTGGGGAGATAGCTCAGCGATCTAAGCGCCTGCCTGGCAAACACAGGACTTGAGTTCAATCCCCGATATCTCATGGTCCCAAAACTGGGCATGATGGCACACGCCTGGAATCCCAGCACTGAGGAGGCTGACAAAGGAGGATCATTGAGTCTGAACTGCATAGTGAGACCCTGTATCCAATGAATAAATAAAAATAAAATATTATTTTTTAAAAAAAGAGTGTCCACTTCTTTTAGCTCAAGATGTTCTAATAATTGTTTAAGTGGTTAAGGACATTCATCACCCTGGAGTGTATTTTTGTAGATAATTTTATTTCTTACTTTGTTGCTTGTTTAGTCTTACCACAAACATTTTATTTAGAGTGACTATTACGCTTAGCACTAGACCATGGGCTTTCCATGCAAATCTTTCTAGCACCTTAGGTAAGAAGGAAGTGGCAAAAAGAATCTTGTCCAAGTTTGCATGGCTAGTACCAACACCACATCTAGCAATAGAACCCATGTCTCCCTTCAATGGGACAGATTTCACTGCAGTCACAAATTAATTTGCCTTATGTAGCTATCGGTGAGAGGTCAAGATAGACTGAGATTGCAATATGGTTAACTCTTTAAAACCAGTAGTAAGGCTAGCCAGATAGCTCAGTGGATAAAAGTGCCTGAAGTAGGTGCAGGGGCCAGGGGTTTGATCCCTGGGCCTGCCATGCAGGTACCGCCCCTAGGGCGCACTGAGGCTGCAATTGAGACTGGGCGCAGTGGCGCACCCCTGTAATCCCAGCTCTTGGGAGGCTGTAAACAGGCGGATCACTGCGAGTCCAATCTAGTAGTGAGACCCTGAACACCCTATAGACCTTTCCCTGAAATAGAAGAAAAAAAAAAACCCCATTAGTATACATTGATGAGGGGAAGGAAACACCTCTTCACATCCCACACATCTTTGTATTCTTCCAAAAGCTTTCTTTCTTTTCTTTTTTTTTTTTTTTTCTTTACAGAACTGGGGATTGAACTCAGGGCCTTGCGCTTGCCAGGCAAGTGCTTATTCTACTGAGCCATCTCCCCGGCCCCACCAAAAGCTTTCTTTTGTGTGTATTAAAAAACATATTTCTTTTTACAAAAATTGAGAGACTAATTTTCCAAAATAAAATCAAATCTGATTTTTTACTTTGCTGTGTTTTCCTTTGTATCATATATCTCATTCTGTGTGAGTACAAATTTTCTTTCTTTTTTTTTTTTTTTTTTTTTTTCTACAAATTTTTTGTTGTGCTATTCAGTTAATGGGTCAGGTGTTACTTCTGGCCATTGTTAAATTTTTTTTTTGTTTTTAAAAATTTTACCTTTGACTAATAGTTTCTGATTATTTGCTATATCTAATTCACATTGAAAAGAGATTGATGGGGGCCTGCCCCTCAGCTCAGTTCTTTAAGTGGCTTCTTCAACAAAGCAGTCAGGCTCAGGTTGCTGTGGTTCAATCCCACAACTCAAGCCAGCCAAACCTGCCCTGAAGGCATTCAGAGCAAAAAAAAAAAAAAAGAGAGAGATAGATACTTTTTTTTTTTTTTGCATTGTTGCTAGATTGTTATAAGTGAAATCTGAGTTGACTCATATTCCCATAGTTCTTGTCTGTAGAGAATATTTTCTAGCATATCTTCTGCTTAATGTACTGTTATTAAATTGTCCCAAATTATGTGCCTCTTCTCCAACTCAGTAATTACATACTTGATTCTAAGTGATGTATCACAAAGTAGAATTATTAATTGTGCATATACTACGAGGATTGATGGTGGGTATGGCACTGTGAAAACATTGAATCCTATGTAGACAAAAGAATTCTAGTTGTCTATTCCTATGTAGACAGAATAGAATGTCTTCGTAATATAATTTGTTATTTCTTGTCACAAAAATGTATCCTTTCTAATGGAATTTTTCATATGATTAGTAGATATGTCCTAACTATAAGGTGTTAAACATTTTATAAATATCTTAAATACATAATTCAAAAAATATAGAAGTTAATATAACTTTTTAATGTAACATTTTGAATTAAATATTTCCTTAGGAAAATGTTCTGCTGCTGCCCTAGATGTTCTTGCAAATGTTTATCGTGATGAGCTACTGCCTCATATTCTGCCCCTTTTGAAAGAACTACTTTTCCATCATGAATGGGTTGTTAAAGAATCGGGCATCTTGGTTTTAGGAGCAATTGCTGAAGGTAAGTCTGAGTTGTGAAGTCCTAATAGGTGTTGATAAGATTAGGGTATTAAACAGTTGTTACTCAGTAGGCCAAGACTTTGCTCTGAAACCCATGCAGCATTGCTGGGTGATGAAATACCAGTGTGGGCTACACACATCTGGATCCATATTAACCTTAAACAGGATAATTGAATACAATCACCGTCTTACAATAGCTTTTTACTGTGAAGTAGTTTAACTATTTAACATTGACTTATACTCTCAGCCAGATACTTCACAAATGATTTTCCTAAAGGAAATGAAATCCAAGGACTCTATATCTGAAGCGCCTTCATTACTGGAAAAATAACTTTATGCCTTATGTAGATTTAGAAAGCATGGTGAAACTGTCATCGAAGGGTCATTTTTGTTTCAGATGCAGACCTCTATGTACAAGAAATTGAAACATTTTACAGGCATTTCTAAGATATTTATGAGTAGTTAGTGCTAATTTCAGTTATTTTGTAAAATAATTTTGGTACAGGATGTCATATTCGTAGGAGTGAAAATACTCTGAATACATATTTTTTCAATGTTCAACTGAAATGATTTTAATTAAAAGTAGCACTTTTTGAAAGATTTTTGTTGGTTCTAGGTTGCATGCAGGGCATGATTCCATACCTGCCTGAGCTCATTCCTCATCTTATTCAGTGCCTCTCTGATAAAAAGGCTCTTGTGCGTTCCATAACATGCTGGACTCTTAGTCGATATGCACATTGGGTAGTCAGCCAGCCACCAGACACGTACCTAAAGCCATTAATGACAGAGTTGCTAAAGCGTATCCTGGATAGCAACAAGAGAGTACAAGAAGCTGCCTGCAGGTAGGTCAAATTCTTTTTTTTTTTTTCAAATTCTTAATAGTGTTCCTTGTGAGAACTGGTAATCTAGGGAGAGACCAATCTTCAGCTTTGTGATAAAATGTTATTAGATTGTTAGCAGAGTATTTTATAGCAAAAAAACCTTAGAAGCTATATATTAGTTTTTCTTGGTGGTTTTATAGGCCTGGCTTATGGCTTTGGGATTTACACATGATCATATTTTATCCATTTTGTTTGGTCAGGAAATTTTTATTTACAGCTTTTACCTGAATCAAAATATGTTCTCCCTAATGGCTCTAAAAATAGAGTCATCTTTGACCTTCATTCTTGCAAATAATTGAAATGATAGTACTAGGGCTTCTTTTGAAGGAACAACTAAGTTTTGAGTAGATCTGCATGGTAGTCAACGGAGTAACTATCAACTGGCCACTTAACAGCCAGAATTGTCAGGGCTCTCATGGATCTGCGTCAGTGGATTTAGTGTTGTATCAGACCTACAGTTGTTTTGTTTTCTGGAATAAACTACGTACTAGAAGAGCTTTTTTTTTTCTTTTTTTTGGAACTGGGAATTGAAATCACGACCTTGTGCCTGCCAGGCAGGCGCTGTGCCACTGAGCTGCCATATATCGCCAGCCCCTAAGAGTTTTAATTTTTGATGATCTGGAAATAAGTTTAACAAGCATCTATAGTGATTTAATTACACAAAATACACTTTTTTAAGGTTGGGGAGGATAGACTGATTTCTTACAGTTCATTCAGCTTTTTTTTTTACTTATTGTTATGCGCATACTAGATACGGGGCTAGCAGTTTGTGCCAACCTGAAACTTAAGGCTAGTGAGAAATATCACAAAGTTATACGATGTTGTTTAATGGCAAGTGCTATGAAAGAAATGCATGAATTGTTCAGAATGCTAACAGGATTTTTCATTAATGTGTGGCTTAAGCCTGTCATTTTAGTGAAGTTCTAAATTGGGTGAAACAGAAGATAAATGTATTCAAGACAGATTTAGGTTTCAAATTGCAGTAATTGCATCGAAATGCTATAGCCTCTTCATTTCTTAGACATTTGCCCTAAAAATTATACTTCACATGTATTATCCTAATAAATACACTATGGAGATTAATTGTGGTGAGTAGTGGAACTCCTGCATTCTTACATCTTAAACACATTCACATGAGAAATTTTCTATCAGCTTTTTGTAACCTTTGGTCTCTATATGAAAAACAAAAGTGTAAAGTGAAATTTATATAGTCTTAATCCTCATTTCTTTAATCAGCATAATCTAAGCTCCCTGAAAATAGAGACATTGTTCTGTTCTTTGCTATGTTTGACACTGAGTACCATATAAGTAGTAAACACCAGGTATGTTGAGTAAGTAAATATAAGCGCCAAAAAGATTTGTAGTTTTCAATTTTACCTTCATAGCTAAACAAATGCCCATGGGTGACAGACTCTTGGAAAGGAAAAAGTAGTAAGAAATGTTAAAAGAAAGTAAAAATAAGCAACTGATAGAAGGAAGGGAATGCATCAAGAGATGTATTATATATGCATCATAAACATTGGAAGCAGTAAACTTAGTTTACTGTCTATTATAAGCTGTTCATTTTATGCAGCAGTAATATTCTTTTGCTTTCTTGTACAGCAATTAACCACTAAGAACATATGCAGTATGTTATTTGTTGAAACTGTACTTCCGATTTGATTTGAAACTGTCTCATTACTGTTTATCAATAAAATTTTGAAAAAAAAATATTCTTTTGCTTTAATTTTAGTGCCTTTGCTACCCTAGAGGAGGAGGCTTGTACAGAACTTGTTCCTTATCTTGCATACATACTTGATACCCTGGTCTTCGCGTTTAGTAAATACCAGCATAAGAACCTACTCATTCTTTATGATGCCATAGGAACATTAGCAGACTCAGTAGGACATCATTTAAACAAACCAGTAAGTATCTTTGAACAGCTATTATGGGGAAAATACATAGCATAAGCAGTACTCAAGAATACAGATTTTACAGAACCAAGCATGGTGGTGTATCCCTGTAATCCCAGCACTTGGGAGGCTGAAGTAGGAGGATGACTGCAAATTTGAGATAGCCTGGGTTACGAAGTGAGTCCAGGCGAGCCTAAACTACATAATGAGATCCTATCTCCAAAAAGTCTTACAGAAACAGCAAATGAAAGCTGAATGAATGGCCCAGAGATAGAACTCTCACCTGGTACTTTGTTTTGGGGGGCATGGGTTCCTACCCAGCACTAAAAGAAAACAAAAAACAGTGTATTGCTCTGACAACAGTATTTTAAAATAAGCATTTACTTAGGGTCGGAATTATAACATCATATCATTGTATTTTAAAATAAGCATTTACTTAGGGTCGGAATTATAACATCATATCATTGCACATCAACTTTTTTTTTTTTTTCAAAACTGGGGATTGACCTCAGACCCTTGCCCTTGCCAGGGAAATGCTTGTTCTACTGAGCCATCTCCCCAGCCCTTAGGTCAACATTTTTTATAAGAGTAAATATAGGTTGTACTATGAATAACCACCAAGAAGACAATATGCGATGTGTTGATTATTGAAACTGTCCTACTAATTGGTTTTGAAACTGTCTCATTGCTATTTGTTTCTCAGTAAAATTATTTTACATAAATACTTTTTTTATTTTTTTCAAACTCAAGTAAATATAGGGAAGGAAATGAAATTGTTTCTGTACTCTGGGTATCTTAATTCCTTGTTTGTGTAGCTACCACTTCATAAATATTGTAGCTTTAGATTTCTTGTATTTTTTTTCTCCTCAGAATATACAGTTATGTGGAATACACTGTATAAAAAATTAGAAATTGGAGTGATAGGTCAGAAATGCTGCATAGTGGTACAGAGGAGTTCTGTGCCTTGCCGGGAGTAGTATAACCTATAAAAAGAGTGGATTAAAAATGTAATTGAAAGATAAGCCTTAGTATGTGTTGATTGTGGATTAGTAAGTAGTGCACTTTGATACAGTGATGTGTCTTATTGATAAGCAATTTTTATTTCCAAATGTATGTGAAATGACTTTAAAGTGAGGTTATGTAAAAAGGTAGTCAAAAGAAAATTTTCACGAAGACTGTGTAGAACAAAGAATGAGTCTTAAAATACCTGCTGTAATGATTTTACACAATTGCTCTAAATGGATTTTAATTTTCATAGACTCAGATGGACTTGTTTACATATGGTAGTGGAGCTTTATATGTTTTTCATCATTGTAACTAGGAATATATTCAGATGCTAATGCCTCCACTGATCCAGAAATGGAACATGTTAAAGGATGAAGATAAAGATCTCTTCCCTTTACTTGAGGTATGCTTAGTTACTTGAACAGTGAATTTCTTCAGAAGCACAGGTTCTAATCCAAAATGGGCATATGTGATGAATATTGGCAATAAATTGATAGACCCATTTCTGTTGAAATGCTGAATATAACTGCATAACTAATTACAGTAAATCAGAGCTAGGCATTGTGGTGCACACCTGTAGTTGCAGATACTGTATTTATGTCATTTTAAATTCTTTTATGTATTACTATCATGTGTTGTCTGTGCCCATGTATGTGAAGTAGCCTTGGAACTTGGTACCATAAAGGAGGGACTTTGCTTTGAACATTTACTTTCTATTTTTAATTTTTTCTTTGTATGCTTAGAGGGGTTTTTTGGGGTTTTTTTTTTTTTTTTTAATTTTTATTTATTTATTTATTTATTTG